TGATACAAAGCCTGCAAAAATAGTTTCCCCAAATTTTAGTAAAGACAAAAGCGAGGCTAAATCAAATGCTTGTATGAGAAAGATAGTTTACCGTTTATCATTGCCAGATATACTCTCATTGCCCTACTTCCTAGACTGCAATTCAATTTTCAAAGCCTTAAGAAGGTCTTGCATTTCAATTTGTTGGTTTTGCATTTCAGCTTGTCAGTTCTCCAGCCTTTGCATAAGTTGCTATTGAGTTTGGACTTAAATTTCCAACTCAGCTGAGCGCTTTTCAGCTTGTTCAGCATTTTTCTTGAATTTTCCAACCATGTCAGGTATGAATAACAACAATTCATTAAAAAACAAGATAGATTATGTCCCATCACAGAAGATGCAAAGGAAAGCTCCAAAGTCTGAATTATAAGTTGTAAGTGTCATTATAATTTTAAGCTAGTCCTAAAATTATACATCTCAAACTACACAACATCAACTCCCAAGTCTGAAAAAGAATAGCCAAAGGAGATTTCAAGTCATGAACAACCCCTCCATATGATACATACTCAGCCTACTCAATCAGATTGAATTTGAGGGAAAAAAATAGGGTCAGATCAAGCACACATAACATCCCATCTGTTCCAATTCTGCCTACCCATACAAAAGCTCCAATTAGCTTGCTGGATAAACTAAATCAACCCCAAAATCTAGTGGCAAAACACATGTAATTTAATGTTTTCTAAGTTTGTTGGGTAGGTTTGTCTAATGAGGGAAAGAAGCAGAAAGTATGGTCAACATTTTACACTACCAACGGCAACAACCAAAATTTTCCAACCGTTGGTCAATTTTTGTTCAACTCTCCCCCTGCCAAGTCCAGCCGTAGCTGGTTTTGTGCAAAAAATGGTTGGGAAGTAGCAAGTCCTTCCCAAGTGGGCCAAGAGGCAGATGATGCAATTAATCTAGGGGATTCATGATGACAAGGCAAAAATTTTTAACAATTTTTCCCCTAAGTTAAAAATTAGGGCAATAAAATTTCTAGGGATGAAAAGATTAATCATGTAAATAGCCATAAAATTACACCCTAAATGCAGATTCGACAAGAATGCAAGTAGAAATTTTCAGAAAAAAAAACCTTAGGGCCAAAATATTTGCAAATTATTTTAGAGAGAAAGAGGAGAGGGAAAGAACTAACCTTTGCCGCAAACACTTGGAGAATTACTTGGTCTTCATGCCAGAGAGCCATGGTACTTCACTGGTCTTCAATCGTCGGAGAGATTGAGATTGCAGTAGTGAGGTGGAGGTAGAGGTGAGAGTGGGCATCTGAGTGAAAGTGAGGTAGAGATGATTTGTGGAGAGTTCAACACTTAGAAAAGCTTTGTTTTGCTTCTACACAGTAAAAGACAATTAGACAAGAGTCCGCCACTTTTTTTGCCTTGAATTTTAACTAGATTTGGATCATAATTCATAGGTGGCAAAATCTATTAATTTCATATGAGTGATATTACATTTCTAGTAGTTCTTATAGGTGCTAAAATTTTATACAAATTTCTCATAATTGGAAAAATAGGATACATCTTATTATTGAAAATAATGATGTTCAAATTATATGGCACTCAAATAGTTTCATTATAAACAATCCAATGCTATTAATAATGTATTGTAGCATCTGACAAAAATATATATATTGCAAGAAATTGTAAAAAATTGAAGACAATTTAGTGACAACAATATGTTATTACTAATATATTAAAAGTTATAATGACAACAATAAGTCGTCACTAAACAAATATCAGTTACGACTAGAGAAAGTCGTCAATAAATAGTGCTAGTAACAGTGATGTCACTAAAGACCAATTTTCTTGTAGTGATGGCTGCTTGTCTTTGTCTGTTTGTTTATAATCAATCCAATTGTGCAAAGAACCAGATGGTTTTCAATATTAGCCGAGGGACAACAGTTGAAGTTAGATAGATGAAGATGGTTTTCAAGGTGCTTGGATTCCAATAACTTTCTTTTGGCTGAGATAGCTTGTTTGAGGAGAGGTGAGAGAGATGAGAAGAAGAAAATTTTCACTAAGTCTTTTGGCGCCGCCAAAATGAAACTTTGGAGTATTTCACTAAGTGTTTTGGCAAATGAATCTTCCGACAAAATCAAACACTGTCATTTTGTGTCTTTTTTTTTTTGTACATCTCACATTTTCTCAAGTGTCATGATAGATAGTCTAAAGGCACATTATTATTTTTATATTAGATAAAATAAAAAATATATAGTATATATTATTGAGTTGATAATAAGTGTCATGATAGGATTACTATAATGACACAAACTAGAAAGTGTCCTTATAGGCATGTCAGGAAAGGTCATTTTTGTTGTAGTGATTGTAGCAGCAAAAATGGTAATAAAGAAGCTTGGGCAATGAGAGGAAGGGGGGAAAATTGGACATAGGGGCAAAATTGGAGCTTTAAATATTTTTCAATATCAAATGGAGAAAAATGGATACTTTTCAATAGTCAAAACTAGTGTAGCTTAACAGAGGAGGAAAAAGTTCGACAAAAATAACGTTAAGGAGAAAAGTGCAAATCAAATAAAACATTAGGAGATTTTTGAGTATTTGATCCTTCATATTTCTACACTACAATCTAAATATTTTTTTATACGAGTTGACGAACACGCAACGCATGTTCAATAGTTAAACTTTTTAAATTATTCCTCAGCATAGTAAGATAATTTCAGCAGTAAATTTGATCCAATTTTGTTGGATGAATTATATAGAGTCAACCAAAATTGGTTTTCTCCTCCATCATGGTTTGTGAATATTGACCAAAACTCCAATCTAAATCAACTATTGCCCCTTGCCATATTGTACCTAAACACCTTGTGAACACTGTTATCCATAGATTAGATATTGTACTCTTTAAACTTTAAACCTAAAACCAAAACTCCAGGTCAATTGATCATATTGTATGGGGATTTCAATTGCTTTCTTCATCCTATGGACCAACCTAATTAACATTGGATATTCTTAGATATTAAAGTTACTTCAAGCCAATGACCATGCCCATAATTGAGTTCTTGATAATTTTATTGATGTGTGACGGTAAATGCTATTATCGAAAATATTAATAAATCCCATAGAAATAAGTTCACTTAAGTTAGCCGCCTTTGTATTTTATTGTCATGTTAGAGAGGCGCTTCTAATTTAATCACAATTTCTGCTGGAATCGTTGTATAGTTTATACCGTTAATCCTCAGGATATTTAATTAAGGGATAATTTCAGAAACCTCCCCTGTGGTTTATGACAATTTCACTGAACTCTTCTAAGGTTTGGAAAATTATACCTACCTCCCTTGATTTGACAGTTTTAGAAACAAAACCTTAAAATAATATCGACTTGGTCAAATTTTTAAATGAATGTCCAAAAATGCCCTGTGTAATGAGTTTTAATTTACTTTTCTATACAATTATAAGATTATCTAGTATAATTATAAGAAAAGGTACCAAAATTTTCATCTCCACACCTACTATTTGATAAACAACTATAATAATAATTTTATTACTATGATAGAATACTTTTGGTGGTATTTTATTATGGATTTAAACTTATAAGATAGAAAAAATGTTGAAAAAATTCATTTAAAGTTTATGAATTTTTTGAGCAGTGCGATTATCACAATTCAATAGTGGTTTTGGATATTTTCTTTTGATTTATTGTTAATTTTAATACCAAAAATAGAAAAACAAAGATTAGCAAAACCATTGATTGCATATAAAGTTAATTTATCAAAAAAATCACTAGTTTGATATTTGGTTACAATAAAAACTAGAGATAATAATGGTAGTTCTATAGTTTTATTGACAAAAATATAAAAAAAAAGGAATGAGAAGGAAAAGAATTTAAAAAAATAATTTTAAAAGCCATTCTAAGTATCAACATACCAAACAAGGGAATTTCATCAAAATATTTAAGGGTAGTATTGTCATTTTAAATGATAAGGGAGGTATGTGTAATTTTTAAAATCTCGAGGGAGCTAAATGAAATTGTTAAAAACATCAAGAGAGGTTTCTGAAATTATCTCTTTAATTAAACCTACAAACCTTAACTTAATAGAAGTCATATGAGCTTTTCAGATTCATATGTGACCTTGTGCCAAATCTTGGACTCATTAGAATTAAGAAATTTAAGTAAAACTTGCTTTAGCAGTGTTATAGTGTAGAGATTACGATGATTTAATATTTGTTTTAGAGATCTGAAATCATATTCAACATTGGACAATAAGAAAATGTTCTTGTAATAACTTATCCTAATGTTATATGTCACAGCTGAGAATATTACAGAGCATATTTTACTGGAGGATTTGGTGAACCCCTCCAATGTTTTCATTCAATAAAGTAGCCAAAGAAGAAGGATGAGGACGACAAATAATTGTTATACTTTATTGTACTTTTAGTGTTCGGATGAAATACCCAACACATCACATCACATGTATATGTGAGCCAATGTTTTAAAACCCGGACCGTCAAGCAAACCGGTGAAGTGAAAGGGTCGAGGTTCAACCGGTCGGACCGGTTCAACCCCGGTTCAATAAATAAATAAATAAATAATATATATATATATATATATATATATATATATATATATATATATATATATATCCTAATTTGCATCTCCTGTTAGTGTACTATCTACATGACTCTCCACGAACAGCAGAATTAGAGTTGAATGTAAATGCAAGTTTCCTATATCAGGAAACACACACACACACACACACCTATGCACAGAATAAGATATAAATGCTAAACTACAATTAACATAAAACTATAAAAGCAATATCCAACAATTAACACACACAATTAACATAGTAGTATCCAACTTACATGTTCAATTGTCTAAATATTAGAATTAACAAAAAACAATACAAGTCTAAAAAACAATCAAAAAGTCCAAACAAGTCCAATTTCCGAGGCTTCTATAATCTTCTTTGTCATTTTGGGACAACAAAGCTTTTAAAAAAGCCATCTTGATAAGTCGTCATCATCATCCAAAACCATTATATGAATCACTGACAAGTGATAAAGTATAAAATCATATTAGTTTCATCACACCAACTGATACAAATCTTAAAAATAAAAATAAAAGAGTACAAATAATTCTATACAAATTACCATTTGAACATTTAATGCCAATCATCATCTTCATCATTAAAAAAGTTTCGACGCTGAAATGTTTCTAAATCAACATCTTCTGCTTCATCTTCATTATCTAAAAAATCAACATATTTAATTATATACATATTCAACAATTGAATATCATATCATACTAGCTTTATTTTTGCATCAAACTAATGATTTATGTCAAACTAACCTTCAAGTTGTTCAGAATTTGAACATTGACCATGAATTGGAAGTTCTTCAAGCTCTTCCTCTAACTCCTCATAATCAAGCTCCCCTTCTTGTTCTTCTTCAACCACCCAAAATTCTGTTTTATCAATTGACTCATAATCAACGGGATCATACGATCTCTTTTGCTGATTATGCCTACAACATATATATATATATATATATATACACACACACACAACATATACACTTAGTTAGTACTAAAATATTTTCTTAAAAAGAATGAAATGTCATTTATAAAAATAAACCATTTACATATACCTATACTGCAAACGCAAATTGTAATGCACATATACAAGATCATTGAGCCTTTGATGCTCCAACCTATTCCTTTTCTTAGTATGAATACGTTCAAAAACACTCCAATTACGCTCACATCCTGAAGAAGAAGCTGTTTGACTCAAAACCCGAATTGCAAGTTTTTGTAAGTTGGGAGCATCACAACCAAAGAGCTTCCACCAATTCTCTGTCATATTCAAAATTTAAATATAAACAAAATATTTATAAATTAGATATATATATATATATTAGAGAGATTCAAATGCTAGAAAAATATAAATTACCTGGTCTATCTTTCTTGCTAGTAAGAATAGCAAGTTTTCTGCCAAAACTTCCCTCCCGCTCTCGATACATTCCAATTTCTCTTGTTAAATTTTTCACACTACACCAATCCACCTTTGATTCTATGTAATCCAACAAACCATTTGTAATTTGTAGATGTGTAGAGAATGTGGCAGTGTCATATTGAAAAGCGGGATTTAAAAAATATGCGCGTAGCATGCAAATTTTTCCTCAACATCCTATCCCATCGGTCATTGATGATATCAATGTTAGGCTTATATAGTCTTTCACTACTCCTGAACAGCTTCTTGATTCCAGTAATTGCTCTAAACATACCTTCATACACATACCCCAAAGAAGGCCTTTCATCAGTGTCACGAACTCTCAACAACCAAATAATAGGACCTTATTCTCATCGTAATCAAACAATTATTCCAAAATCTATCATCCAAAACAATTTGTTTGACCTCTTTTCCTTTGTTCATTTCAAGAACTTTTTTGTAATCTCCGCTAGTGACTAAAGCTTGTAAGTTGTCTTTGTGATCATGTAAGCTCTTTAGTGCAATAAAAGTGGTGGCAAATCGAGTCTCCCCGGATGAATAATCTCCCTCCACCTATTAGTTTTTCTCAGCCAATTTAGAAATATTTATGATTATACACAAAAACAGTTATTGTAGCAGCAAGAGCCACTAGAGATTTAACAGTACCCATTTCACCAATATCCTTCAAAATCAAATTGATATAATGGCAGCAGCACATGGAGACAGCAAATAGTTGGATATCTTTCATTTAATAAAGTTCCAGCAGCCTTATAATTGCTAGCATTATCAGTGACTAAATGCACCACATTTTTGAACCAACCATTTCAACAATTTCAACAAACAGATTGCACAAATTTTCTGCATTTGTCACAATGTCCGATTCATCTATAGACTTGATAAAAGATATACCTTAGGACAATAAACCAGAAAATTAATCAATGGTCTTTGTCTACTATCTTTCCATCCATCACCCATTATAGTGCATCCAGTTTCAGCCCAAGTATTTCGAAATGAATCAACAACTAACTGCACATCTTTCTTAGCATCTCGCAACAAAGTGACTTGCAAAGAATGATAAGATGGAGCTTTATAACCATGACCCATTGATGCAATTTGATCGATAGCTTTTTGAAAAAATGGAGAATTAACAGCATTAATGGGAATACATGCATCATAGAACCAAAGAGCAATGGCCATATCAGTATTTTGCCATTTATCCTTACTTTGCAAAAAGCTTTGATAGTAGGTTGAGCACTATCACGTCCACCCTTAAAGAAAGCACGAATACCTGTAGGGGCAGTGGTTTTTCTCTTTCCTTTACCTAATGATGTACCAGCCTCATTCATTGAAATTTCCCTTATTTGAGGAGGTGGAACCTCTTGCACTTCATCACCGACAAATTCGTGCACTGGTTGATCAAAAGGACTTTCAACCCCAAATCTCCTCTTTTTTCTTTAGATTTTTTATCATTCTCTTGCAAACATGTTAATATTGCAAACCTCACTGCTGGATCAACATTTGGACATGAAGTAACACTGTCCGTTACTCCTGCTAAGTGTTGCTTCATTCGGTGGATGCCACCCCATGAAACACTTTAAAACAATAAGTGCATGTCATGGTTTTTCTTCCTTGTGCATTTCTGCCCTCAGAAACATATCCCCATGCTATATCTATCTTTTGCCTATGACCTTGGGGCTGACTTGCAGATCCCTCACTAGTGAATGCTCCCCCGGTGAACATTGTGAGTTACTACCGCTACCAGCCTCCATCCTAAAATGAGATATTTAAAAATAACTAGTCTTAACAAATAATTAATATACACAAACTGAAACAAATTACTAAGGCTATTCGTATTTGGGTTAATGGAGACAATGAAACAACCGTTTAGCACGAGTGAAGTTAATTCCCTAAGCCTTGTGCATTTCTTGAGGGTGTTAAGTATCTTCACGATAACTGGTTTTGCACAGAGATTTAAAGACATCAAATATACTTTTAAATAATAGCACAGAGATTTAAAGACATCAAATAACTTTCATCTGTCATGTTACTGTAGATTTTTGTATGGATTTCAAGCTAATTTTCTTCTCTGTGGCCTTAAAGATCATTGTCGTTTTGTTTTGCAGATATTCAAAATTTTTCGCACGCCTAATGACACAATCTGGCCTGGGTTTTCGAAGCTTCCAGGGGTCAGGGTTAACTTTGTCAAGCATCAGTATGTATTTCATGTGATTTTGATCTGGCTTTCTGGCCTTCGTTGGTGACAGTTTCAGTTCCCAAATAAATGAAGCTTAAGACTATTAGACTATTATTAGAATCATGTTTCGCATGCAAATTTTTACCGAATATCAGTACCGTAACCAATTCGTATTGAAAAAAGAAGATAGAAGCGCAGCAGGCGTATGAAGTAAAATACCTGAGATAGGGTTGCGAGAAAAGCTGATGAAGATGGTGTGAAGTGTGAACAAGTTTGGACTTCCACTATTAGTAGATAAGCTTGAATTCCACAATTTTTTTTGGCTTAGAATCGCAGCAGCAGGCGGAAAAACTTCAGGCTTCGGTGCTTCCTTTTTGCTTATTGCTATGGATCAAGATTGGAGTTTGGAGTTTGGACTTAGTAACATCAAAACATAGAAGCAGAAATTAGCACATTCATAGCACTTTCAAAGTCCATACACTTTTTACCATTTGGCTTCTCTCTGTTGTCTTTTCTTTCTTCCTAGTTCCCTCTACAAATTACTCCAATCGATCGCTCGATAAATCTTCCATCACCATGGATCCACAGGATTTTTCCACCGGCGGCAGGCTGTCTCCGAGAAGAGAACTACAGGGCCCACGTCTAGCTCCACCTAAAGTAAGCAAAGACTCCCACAAAATCAAGAAACCACCAGTTGCACGCGCAGCTGCACCACCTCAATCACCCTGCAGCCTCATTTTAAGCCCACAGTCGACAACGAGCACCGCCAACGTGGTCATCTACGCCGTTTCCCCAAAAGTGATCCACACCACACTTTGGAGAAGGGATTAGAGTTAAGCCATTAAGGGGAGAAGGAAATAGAGATGGCAGGCAAGGCAATTTCAGCAATTGTAGAGAGAGGAACAGGAAGACCGAAGCGGCGAAGTGAAGTGCGAAGAGGAAGACTGAAGCGAACTAGCGAAGTGAAGAATGAAGATTAGGGTTCGGTCAAAATTGAAGTTTTTGTCAATTTTGACTCAAAATTGGAGAACCGCGGTTCACGGTCCGACCCGATTTTGAAGATGTGAACAGTTTTTTACGATTTTGACCGGTTTCTTATAAAAGTCAACATAAGCTATAGACCGGACCGGACACATGTCCGGGTCACGGTCGAACCGGTCGACCCGGCTAGTCCGGTCCGGGTTTGAGAACATTGATGTGAGCAAATGAACTAATGTCAATCACTTAATTGTGATCAAAATTCAACAGAGAGGACTCAAACAGTTCGAAATACGTGTCAAACCTTATGTGGTGCACCATTAAGTTAGTTTCTGTATTGTAAATTTTCCATATTGGAAAAAGAATCGCCAGAGTATCACTCTATGTATATAACATTTATTAATATGCCTGACATGGTTGAGGGTGTTGGTTAGGGACTTGATGTCCCGCCTAACAGACCAGAGTTCAAATATGGTTGCTAGGTTTCGCGGTAGGAGGGATTAGGTAATGCTGTTATACGAGTTGAACTGTTCGTTTGTTCTACTCGTTCAGTTTTGTTTATATTCGATAATGGTTCATTCAAAATTTTATACAAATCGAATTTAGACAATTGCTTGATTCGTTTAGCCTCATTCATATTCGATAACGATTCGTTCAAAATTTTATACAAGCTGAGTTCAAACAAACTTTTTGGCTCGATAAGTAATCAAATGAGCATGAATCTTGTTCATGAATTTAAATGATTGTGTTAGAAAACTAGAATGGAAAAATTGTGATATATTTATCTTGATCATAATACAATAAGATGTCCCTATATATAGGTATATACACTAAAATACTTTGAATCTAGACTAACTTTTACCTAAGGAAAGATCTATAATTGATCCTAACTAGACGTAATTGATACAAGAGAATCATATAATTGATACAAGAAAATTATATGTCATGTTGACATGTTTACTTTATCACCTTCCCTCAAACTTAAGATGGTTGCAAGGAAACCAACTTAAGCTTGTTCTTAAGATGATGAAAACGATCAAAAGATAGCGATTTGGTATGAATATCCGCAATCTGGTCCAATGAGGAAACATGGAAGAGACTCAAAGCACCATGATGGAGATGGTGACGCACAAAATGACAATCAATGTCAATATGTTTGGTGCGTTCATGAAACACATCATTATGTGCTATCTGAATAGCACTATGATTATCACAATAGATACGAACAGGTGAAGAGTGAGTAACACCCATGTCTTCAAGTAGCCAGTGAAGCCAAACTAATTCTTGAGATGTATTAGCCAAGGCGCAATATTCAGCCTCAGAATTGGAGTGAGCAGTGACCACC